ATCACAAGGTTAAGAGATCGAGACCATCCTGGCCAACATGGTGAAACCCCGTCTCTACTAAAAATACAAAAATTAGCTGGGCGTGGTGGCACGTGCCTGTAGTCCCAGCTACTCGGGAGGCTGAGGCAGGAGAATTGCTTGAACCCGGGAGGCGGAGGTTGCAGTGAGCCGAGATCGCGCCACTGCGCTCCAGCCTGGCGACAGAGCGAGACTCCGTCTCAAAAAAAAAAAAAAATTTACTAGGCCAACTGCAGAGGCCCATGTGTATAATTCCAGCACTTTGGGAAACTGAAGTAGTTAAATCACCTGAGGTCATGAGTTCGAGACCAGCCTAGCTAACATAGTGAAACCCTGTCTCTACTAAGAATACAAAATTAGCCAGGCATGGTAGCCCATGCTGTAATTACAACTCCTTGGGAGGTTGAGACAGGAGAATCGCTTGAACCTGGGAGGTGGAGGTTGCAGTGAGCCAAGAATGCTCCATTGCACTCCAGCCTGGGCAATGAGAGTAAAACTCCTTCTCAAAAAAAAAGTATTTATTAGCTGGGCACATTGGCTAAAGCCTGTAAGGTCTTTGGAAGGCCAAGGTGGCTTGGAGGATGACTTGAGCTTAGAACTTTGAGACCAGCCTGGGCAAGATAGCGAGACCCCATCTCTCTCTCTTTTTTTTTTTTTTTTTGGGATACAGAGTCTTGCTCTGTCACCCAGGCTGGAGTGCAGTGGCACACTCTCCAATCTCAGCTGACTGCAACCTCCACCTCCCAGGTTCAAGCCATTCTCTTGCCTCAACCTCCTGAGTAGCTGGGATTACAGGCATGCGCCACCACACCCAGCTAATTTTGTATTTTTAGTAGACACAGGGTTTCTCCATGTTGGTCAGGTTGGTCTGAAAACTCTTGACCTCAGGTGATCTGCCCGCTTTGGCCTCCCAAAGTGCTGGCCAACTGCACCCAGTCAAAAGACTCAAAGTTTGAAATCTATTTTGAGGATTATTCTTCAAGAGAAGTCATAGGGAAAATGTTTTAGATCAAGAAAATGTTGATTAAAGGAAACAGATCACTTTCAGACCATGAACAAACTTGCCTAATTCATAATGTTTTAAGTTACTTTCACGTCATTTCATGGGGATGCCAACTGTGGTGACCATGTCAGGTGGTCTGGGAAGGATGTAGGAGCTCCACTTCACAGATGGGGAACTAGTGGCTTGGAAAGCCCAGGTAATCTGCTGAGGGTCACACAGTGTGGGGCAGTCAGGACAGTCAGTCTTTTTATTTTTATACTCAAGTCTCTAGCTCTTTTCGCCCAGGAGACACTACCTTCTTTCTAGAGATAATTAGCCTAATTATAATATCCGTATATAAGTCCTTAGAATTTTCCAATCTCTTTTTCATACTTTTTTTATCTTTTCTTTCTTTCTTCTTGAGATGGAGCCTTGCTCTACTACCAGGCTAGCGTGCAGTGGCTCGATCTCAGCTCACTGCAACCTTTGCCTCCCGGGTTCAAGCGATTGTCCTGCCTCAGCGTCCGGAGTAGCTGGGACTACAGGCTGGTGAAACCATGCCCAGTTAATTTTTGTATTTTTTGTAGAGATGGGGTTTTCACCATGTTGGCTTAAGTTGGCCAGGATGGTCTCCATCTCTTAATTTCATGATCCGTTCTCCTTGGCCTCCCAAAGTGCTGGGTGGGATTACAGGTGTGAGTCACCATGCCAGACCCTGTTTTTGTTTTTTTTGAGATGGAATTTTGTCCTTGTTGCCCAGGCTGGAGTGCAATGGTGCAATCTCAGCTTACTGCAACCTCCACCTCCTGGGTTCAAGCAGTTCTCCTGCCTCAGCCTCCCAAGTAGCTGGAATTACAGGCATGTCCCACCATGCCCAGCTAATTTTGTATTTTTAGTCGAGATGGGTTTCACCATGTTGGTCAGGCTAATCTTGAACGCCTGACCTCAAGTGATTCACCTGCCTTGGCCTCCCAAAGTGCTGGGATTACAGGCATGAGCCATTGTGCCTGGCCTATATGGCCAATGTATTTTATGCCATGCACTGTTATCTCTCAGCTATCAGGATGGATAGGTACCATTCCAATTCCCATTAGGCAGTAAAGAATACTGAGCCAAAAGCAGTTATCAGTAGTAGCTAATAGTTATTGAAGCTTTACTATATGCAAGGCACTGTTGTAAGCAGTTTACATATATTAAGTCATTTAATCTTCAGAACAATCTAGAGGTAAATTCCACAGTTATCCTGATTTTGTAGAATAGAAAGCTGACCTAAGTTAGTTATCATTCAGGGTCAGCATAGCTTTGGGAAGCTAAGGTGGGAGGATCTCTTGGGTCCCAGAGTTCAAGACCAGCCTGGGCAACATAGTGAGACCCTATCTCTACAGAAAGTACAGAAATTACCTGGCATGGTGCCACACACCTGTAGTCCCAGCTATTCAGGAGGCTGAGGTGGCAGGATCCCTTGAGCCCCGGGGGTTGAGAGGTTGAGAGTGCAGTGAGCAGTGTTTACAGGGCTGTACTTGCCTGGGCAACTGAGGCTGCGTCCCCAAAAACACAAAACAAACAGGTCAACATACTTGCAAAGTACAACATAATAACAGGAGGTGGAGTCAGTCTTAGAATCCCTGCAGTCCAGTCCCGCCCTGGACTTTATGCTCTACCACTGCATTAATAAAGCCTCCCATTGAACCTAGCAACTCCCCAGTCAAGTCTTGAGATGATGCTCTGGACTTAATAACTTTGATTAGACCTTCTAAACCAAAATTTGAAGTGAGGACAAGACCAGAAAATCCAGGATAAATGGTGGCCAGACACAGGTGTAGCTTTTAATAGATGTAGGCTAACAGCTGCCATTTTTCCATTCTCTAGATATATTTTCCTATTTTCATCTTTCCCAGAACCCCGCAAGGCAGTGGTTTCATTTCCTAAAAGAAACTGGCAGGATAGGGACCTTACCATAGAACAGAGTTCTGGAAGAAGCGAGCTGACCCAGGTCCCTTGCAGCTGCCCCTAGCATTCCCTGACCCCCATTCTTGGTGTTTTTTTTCAGACCCCATGCCACAGCTGGATGTGACTGAGGCCAACAAGGAGTTCATGGAACAGAGTGAGGAGCTGTATGATGCTCTGATGGACTGTCACTGGCAGCCCCTGGACACAGTGTCTTCAGAGATCCCTGCCATGATGTAGCTAGGCCAAAGGACAAGCCAGGCTGCACGACATGAGATGAGAGACTCCTTTTAAAAAAGCCAGGTGCAGTGGCTCATGCCTGTGATCCCAGCACTTTGGGAGGCCGAGGCAGGCAGATCACGAGTTCAGGAGTTGGAGATAAGCCTGGCCAATTTGTCGAAACCCCGTCTCTACAAAAAAAAAGAAAAAAAGAAAACACAAAAATTAGCTGGGTGTGGTGGCACACGCCTGTAATCCCAGCTACGTGGGAGGTTTGAGGCAGAATTGCTTGAACCCTGGAGGCAGAGGCTGCATGAACTAAGATCACGCCACTGCACTCCAGCCTGGGCGACAGTGAGACTCCATCTCAAAAAAAAAAAAAAAATTGTTAAAACTTTTTGGAAATATGATTTGTAAGATTTTAATAATGACTGTTTCTGGAGATTATGAATATTTCTGCATCACTGCTGCATTCATTTGACCATTTGAAGATCAAGGGAACAACTTTTAAGCAAGGTTCAAATTGCTTTCCTTCACAAGAAATCTTTGTCCAGGCAGTTATCCACACTTCTGGACATAGGACAGTTTGGGATTACCCAAAACTGGGACGAGCATCTTGGGATAATTCAAACACTAAAGCCTGGGTTAGAGGCTTCTCAGTTGACAGGTATGTAAATCAAGGTTCTCTGGAGCATCTGTAGTACCTGCTGCATTTTAGAGTCCTAACAAACTTGTCACAGGTCTGGCAGCTAGGTAGAAAGGGCACTGTAGCAGGGGTGGGAGCATGCGCCTAGGACATAGAATGTGGTGGGTGTGATGGAGCAGGCCAGTTGGTTTAAGACTTGATACTAGCTCAGGCGTGGTTGGCTCACACTTACAATCCCAGCACTTTCGGAGACAAGCGGGCAGGTCAAGAGATTGAGATCATCCTGGCCAACATGTTGAACCCCATCTGTGCTAAAAATACAAGTTAGCTGGGCTGGGCATGGTGGCTTGAAGCTGGGAGGTGAGGACTGCACCTGGTGACAGAGTGTCTCAAAAAAAAAAAAAAAAAAATTGATACTTGCTCCAAGAATGGGTCTAGCCTATTTTCATGAGTTGCAGCATCTCCACCTATAAGGCCTGGATCACCTTAGGGAATCAATAGTTTGATACAGGAGAAGGCAGCTTAGAAAGGATTAAGTTGACCAAGATAGCTTAAAGCCAAAGCAGACCTTCATGTGAACCTTATGCTGGTTCCTTCTGTTTCCCGAGTAAATGGGAAAACTGCATTTTCCATGTGCAGTACACAAGACACTTGCTGGCCCCTGCTTGAGGCAAAGCATTGATCCTAGATCATAAAAAGCCTCCAAAGAGGCCGGGCGCGGTGGCTCACGCCTATAATCCCAGCACTTTGGGAGGC